TAGTTGTCCTCACATAACCAAATGTCCACACCATGTGTAGATGCAGTCAGAGATTTTGGATAGGAATCCCTGGTGTTAAAAGTATTTCTGTCCTGCTGTGGGGCTTTCTGAGTTCTTTGCAATAAAGAGTTAAAAAACATAGTCAAAAAACAAGTAAAAGCTAAAAGCTGGCATTTTCCTTGGGGTGCCTTGAGTATAAAAAGTTTCAGAACCATTGAGTCTTCCACTGTCCAGATATCACAGGAATGGTTAGTGGTTAGATGGGGATTAATCTACTGGGGCTCGCTCTTCCTCCACCTGCAAGCTTAGACTTTTTACACAAGTTCACCCCTGTCTCTTTTAATAGCTCAGTAACTGTGTGCATGATGAGCGTGGGATTGGTTAATGAGTAAAATGAGTAATTGTTTGCATGCTCAGGGGCATGGGGCCAGTTAACAGGGATGATTGCCTGGCCCAGAGGAAATTTAAAAGCTCCCAGGTAGGGTTGCTGAGGAGAGAGGGAAGGCTGTGGTGCTGAGGAGGTTGCCCTCTCCAGGTCTGGGGAAGGACCACAGGTTTTGAGTTCCCTCTGTGTTGTGTATTTGATTATTGATGTTGTTTCCTGTGGGGACAAGTTTGTCCTGGGGAAATAAAAATTGAGTGACAACCCGCTACATCAGCAACCTGCAAAAGGAAGAGAGAATAAAAACACACATAACTATCTTATTGAAGTATTATTTGTGTGTCTCATTCTGTGGTAAGGGAAATACACACAGAAACATTTCTTTAGTAGGTCCTAAAGGGTTTTTTTTTTAAGTAAGTTCTCTCTTTTTACCCCTCAACTGCTTGCTTTGGAAATAACTGTGGAGGTCACATGCTGTTGATTAGTGTTGGTGTGGAGAGTAAGCAGGAGAGGCAAATTGATTCTTTCAAAGTGAAGATCACATGGTAATATAGACAAAATAATGCAGAAAATAGTCATTCAGGGGTGTTCTTTCAGTCGTATTCAGAAGCTATACACTTTCGTACGAGGAACAAGCTGTTTTGTAAGAACTGATGGTGGCTGTAGCAATTTCAGTTGTTTGTTGTTAAAAGGTCCGTACTAGATCACTGACTATGCTTTGTTTTGAGAACGTAATCTTGTAAATGGGATCGGAAGAATAGCCCATTAAGAGAGGGAATAGTCCCATCAAGGGTTTTCCTCTTTTTTTAAAGCATTTGCAAACACTAGAAAATAATTAGAGTTGAATATTCTGTTTTTCACACAAGGTGATATCAAGTACTGATATCTGTCTATCTGTACTAGATATCAGTAGATATCGACAGACAGACAGAACTTATATTTTACTAAAACTGGGTCTTTTTGCTCATATGAAGTCATGTCTGTCTGATGCTCAGGGCTATCCAGTGATATTTGTCAAGATCTGGGATACAGTTGATTTCCTGATAGTAAGAGAAACTGAATTATGTCAGTCTTATAGAAAGATTCTCACTAATACCTGTTTTAACTTCAGGGTATCACAGATATGGGAGGACCCTCTGTGCTATCTGACAGTCACTTAATCAGTAGGGCTGTAGTCATGGAATTGAACAAATTAATTGAATCATTCTACTTTGGGCAACTGACTGGAACAGCTGATTTAAAATTTAAATCTTTTTTTTAAGATAACTAGAAGAAAGCAAGAAGTCTAGAATAATGTTAACACTTTAAAATGTTTGCTTGCAATTCAGGTAAAAAGAAGGAAAAGGATAAAGAGAAAAAAGAGAAAAAGGAAAAAGATCATAAATCAAAACAGAAAAAGAAGAAGAAAAAAAAGAAGAAATCTAAACAGTATGGTGAGTATAATATGCATGGCATTAGGACAAAGTAAAGCTCAGCTATGCTCTTTGTGGTACCAATTAGTTATTAATGCTCGTACCACCCAGAAACAAGTTCTGAAGTGTTAGTTATCATCAGAATGAAGCTTTTGCTCTCTACCGTTCACATTTCAAAGGCACTCTCATGTGGGAAATTCTGTTTCCCTTTACATTGTGTTTGTGGGCAAGCATCTCTGTTCATATAACTTTAACTACCATCTTCAAACCAATGATAATGAAGATGTAGCTTGCCACTCCAGTTTCCTTCTACCCACTTCTGCATTTCAGCTTTCAAACAAGTGCTCCTGAGAATCTTGCTGCTAACCTACGTTTATTTTTCCAACGAATCTCTGTGTCTAGATCTTGCTTTTCTTTTCCTGTATGACATGGTTGTATCCAGGCAGCTAAAACTCTCATCTCACATCTCAATTATTTCTGTGGCCTTTTCTCTGGTTGTGATAAGTGCAGTCTTGCATCCTTGAGAGGCAAGGTGTTTTGGGTAGATGTGCTATCTTTTATTAGACCAACTAAATAGTTGGAATCAAGTTCTTTGCATGCTTTCAGGCACAAACACCCATCTTCAGGTATTGGGAGACTTCTGCTGTTAACAACAGTCTCCCAATGCCTGAAGAAGGGTGTTTGTGCCTGAAAGGTTGCAAAGAACTTTTTTCCTACTATTTAGTTGGTCTAATAAAATATATCCCATTTACCCAAAGGACCTTGCCTGCCTATGTCCTTAGACCAACACGACTGTTACCAACAGCCTTGCATCGTTCATATCAGTTGAGATCCATTTCCTAGCCCACTGCATTTGCAGTGTTGCATCTCTTTACTTTCTTCCACTTAAGTCCATTACTGCCTGTTCCCTGAAAATAGGACAGGGAGAACTGTTTATTACATTCATCTTTTACATATTTGAAGGCTACTATCATCTTTCCTCTCACTCTAGGCTAAATATAGGTCATACTTTTTTAAACTGCTGATCATTTTTGTTGCTGTCCTTTTGACTGTTTCCAGTTAGTTCACATTTCCTTAAAATTTGGTATGAGAGACAGGACACATTACTTCAGCCAAGGCCTAACCAGTTTTGAGCTTGAAGGAAGGATTACTTCACTGATTTTTACATACAACAGCCCTATTTATACATCCCATTATGATGTTTTATAACAAAATGTCACTGTTGACTTGTATTTACTTTATGATTGTCAGGTCATTTTCTGCAGAGTTCCTGTCTGCTCAGTCGTTCCCCATTTTATATTTGCACAGTTTGCTTTTCCTATCCAGGTGTATTATCATACTTGTGTTTGCTAAAATGCAACTTTTCAAATTCAGATCACTTCTCCAATTTGTTAGGGTGACTTTGAATTTTAGTAGTATCCTCTATCATGCTTGCAACCCTTTACAACTTGGTGGTATCTGCATATTGAATAAGTAAATTCTTTATTCCTTTATCGATGTCACTGATGAAAACATGGAGTAGTACTGGACTTGGGATGGACCCTTGTATTACTCCACTGATATGTCTTTTGTTTGTCAGTTAGCCACTGATGATTAAACTTTAAGAATGGTTTACCATTCAGCTGTGCACCCACCATAGTTTTACAGTACATAATCCACACAGGGAGGTGGTGCTGTCCTCTATCTTGGGGTTCTTCAAGAGGAGGTTGGATAGATATCTGGCTGGGGTATTATGATACCAGCACTCGTTCCTGCCCAGGGCAGGGGGTTGAATTTGATGATCTGTTTAGGTCCCTTCCAACCCTAGAAACTATAACACTATGCAAGCTTGCCTTATTTTACCTTCTAGCACTCCTATCAGATTGACATCCCTTGCCTATCAAATAGCATATTTAGTAAATGTCACAGCCATGATATTTCTGATTAAAGTACTCAGTGTGATTCAGGAAACCTTCCTGATACTGTGGAGAAATAGTAGGTAGAGATCTCTGGAATTTGTGCTGGAAACGTGTGGTGCGGCAGCTTCTTTCGTTTTGGCGTTTCCCTGGCATGTGTCCCCACTGCTGGTTGGTGAGGGGCCCGACCGCTTGCTGCTCATGCCTGAAATCGCAGCTGTGGTTTTTGCCTCCTGGCCATCAGGTGCAGGTGGTAAGCAGTGAGTGACAGCCCCCCTCTGCCAATCACTGCCAGGGGGCGCACAGGAGATATTTCAAGATTAAAGAAGCTGCTATGCCACTCAGTTCTGGCATGAATTCTGGAGAACCCTAGTAATAAGTTAAAAGCTACAAGGAAAGAGATATCAGCATTGAGAACTCAAAGTGTTCTAAAACAGTGGTTTTCAACCTTTTTTCATTTGCAGACCCTTTTAAAAAAAAATTTCAAATGGAGGTGTGGACCCTTTGGAAATTTTGAGTGGAGGCCACTCTCATACTTTTGATTGATCATGGTCATCTTTTGTGGACCCCTTAGACATAGTTTGTGGATCCCCAGGGTCTGCAGAGCATAGGTTGAAAACTGCTGTTCTAAAACCTTAACACTTCCTAATTTCATTGTAGTTTCTGACCCAAGCTTTCTACAAGGCACACTTCAGAACCTTAAAGTGATTGTTTAGGGGAAACAAATACCAAAAGGTGAAAATTTCCCACCAAAATTGCAGTGAACCCTGCATTTAAATTAGGGTCTGTGTAACTTTCTTAGCTATTTACCAGGTTAGGATAATTTTAAATAATGATAGAAGCTACTAAAACGCTTATCTGAAAATTGTAATGTTGTTTCTGGGTTATGGGGGAGAAGCCTTTTTTTCTTTTAATTATTCAGGGGCATATTATTAAATAGTGGGTGCCCAGAAGTGCTGCCATTTGGATAAAAAAAAAAAAAAAATCCTTGTAGACCTAGCTGGTGTGTCGTGTAGGTGGTAAGATATTGCACAGTGAGTTGTATAATCGCTTCCCTGCTTATGCTGCTTTTGGAAAGAGGCCAGAAGCAGAGCGTCATAACCACCTAATTAGCCTTATCCCCCAAACCACCTCCAGGATTTTTCCATAATTTAAAAAAGAATTCTGAAGAGTTTTATAGAAAAGCTAGAGTATTAACAAAAACCATACTTTAAACAAAATCAGCAATAGAAATCCCAGACAAAAATGATGAGATGCGTGTGAAAAGACAGATTTGGGAATACAAGTGCTTAGCAGCCCAATGCAAATTTAAAGATCAGTAGTTTGGTTTTAAGGCTAATTTATATTGGGTCTTGTAAATTTTAAAATATACAGGAACTGTGTGTGCAACTGGTGCTGTATATGCAGCCAGTATGGCATAATATTCATCTGATGTATGGAATAAAGTCCCTTCAAAAACCCTGTTCCATCTCATATAGAATCAGAGAAAATTAGGCCTAGAAGTGACCTCAGGAGGTCATCTAGCCCAACCCCCTGCTTAAAGCAGGAACAGGGAGTCCCGATTTATATCATGTCACCCAAGGCTTTGTCTAGTTGGGGTCTTAAAAACCTCCAAGGATGGGGTTCTGGCACCTCTCCAGGTAACCTGTGCCAGTGCTTTGCTACCCTCCATGTGAGAGAGTTGTTTTTCCTTATCTAAACTAAACTTCTCTTGCTGCGACTTAAGCCCATTGCTTCTTGTTCTGTCATCTGCCACCGCTGAGAAAAGCCCAGCTCCATCTCTCTGGAACCACTTCAGGTAGTTGAAGGCTGCTATTAAATCCCCCCTCAGTCTTCTCTTCTCCATATGAAATAAGCCCAGTTCCCTCAGCCTCTCCTCAGAAGCCATGTGCCCCAGCCCCTCACCATTTTTGTTACCCTCTGCTGGAGGCTCTCCAATTTGTCTACATCCCTTCTGTAGTGGGGGGCCCAAAACTGGACACACACCTGCAGATCTGGCATCATTGGTGCCAAATGGAGGGGAATAATCACTTCCCTTGATCTGTTGGCAACACTCCTACCAATGCAGCCCAGTACGCTGTTAGCCTTCTTAGCAACAAGGGCACACTGCTGGCTTGTATTCAGCTTCTTATCCACTGTGACCCCCAGGTCCTTTTCTGCAGAGCTGCTGCCCAGCCAGTCAGCCCCCAGCCTGGACCGGTGCGTGGGATTGTTTTATCCTAAATGCAGGACTTTGTGCTTGTCCTTGTTGAACCTTTGGTCCAGTGCTCCAATTTGTCTATGTCTCTCTGAAAGCCCTACACTCCAGTATGTCTACTCCCCCCGCAGCTTGGTGTCATCTGCAAACTTGCTGAGGGTGCACTCTGTGCCACCTTCCAGGTCATTGATGAAGATATTGAACAAAACCAGTCCCCGGACTGACCCCTGGAGCATTCCAGAATACCAGCTGCCAGTTAGACATCAAGCTATTGATTACTACCCTCTGAGCCTGATGATCCAGCCAGTTTTCTTTCCACCTTACAGTCCATTCATCCTAGCTATACTTCCTTCGCTTTCTTGAAAAAATGTTGTAGGAGACCATATTAAAAGCCTTGCTAAAGCCAAGGTATATCACATCCACTGCTCTTCCCACATCCACAGAGCCAGTCATCTCATCATAGAAGGCAATCAGGTTGGTCAGACATGACTTGCCCTTGGTGAATCCATGCTGACTGTTTTTAATCACCTTCTCCTCCAACTGCTTATAAATGGAGTCTTTGAGGATCTGCTCCATGATTTTTCCTGGGCCTGAGGTGAGGCTGACTGGTCTGTAGTTCCCTCCTCCTTCTTCCCTTCCTTAAAGGTGGACAATATATTTGCCTTTTTCCAGTCATCTGGGACCTCTTCCATTTGCCATGAGTTTGCAAAGATGATGGCCACTGGCTTTGCTATCACATTGGCTGTCTCCCTCAGCACCTTCACATGCATCGCATCTGGCCCCGTGGACCGGGTCGGATGTATACACTTCCAGCTTTTCTGAATAGTCCTAATCTGTTTTCTTGCTACTGTTGGCTGCTCACCTCCCCTCAGACTGTGCCTTCAGTTTATCAGGTATTTCTGAGTCGATTGATAAGATTGGAAGGGTAGTACGTTATTTACCACAGAATACTCATTTAACATTCCTGCATGCTGCATTCGAAATGCTAACTTTAAGGAGATAAAAAAAAAAAAAAAAGGTTGTTGAGACATTCTAGATGTGAAGAAACTGCTGTGAAGATTTTTTGCTTCAGTTATGTGGAAGCATGCTACTTTTTGTCCGAAAGAACAGCCTACTTCATATATTGCTCATCTATTTAAATATTATTTTGGGTCGCAATATATTTCATCATTATTTGTAACACTTGCATGAGCAGGCTGCTTTACCTCAGTAAAATTATACATAGACAAAGATTTCTCATGGAAGCTGTAATCTAAGTGCACAGTCCTTGGAAACAGGCAGAGTGAGTGGTATAACGCTGCAGATCATGGCTGTCATGGAGGGGGTGGTTTTTAGAAAGGAGGTGAAAAATAAGCTTGTTTCGCAGTCATCAGGGCCATGAAAGAACTTGCAGGGTTAACAGTGGGCACTGTTGTTAAAGGGAGCCTTTCAGAGAAAAGAATAAATATGTGCATCTGTGCAAAGACTGTACTTATGGGTAGTAGTATGACCAGTGAATAATTCAAATAGGTGGGTTAGACGGTTGGTATCAAGGTGAGTAGTCAATGAAGAGATTTAAGAGAAGGGAAACACATAATTGTGGACAGTTGTAATCTTAGTTAATACTGTCCAGGGATTTTTAATCTGATTGTGCGTGATGGCCTCACTCATAGTTTCACAAGACTGTTGTATCTGCAGCTCAGGGTCCCAGCAGTCTTGTTTAGAGCTGGGGTCTCAGCTGCTCCTGGCATTGGTTGTGTTAATGCTGTAATTACCATATTTGCTCAAATCCAGGATGAGGTTTCTCTGCCTCCCAGCCCCCTTTCAGTCAACATGGGGAAAGAAGAACCTCTTAGATTCACGTACCAGCCTGGGCAGGGGTCTGCTGCTGTGGCAGCCCTGTCTCCAGGCTCAGAGCTGAGCTGCCACCTGCCCTTGGCTAGTATAGCTTGTGCAGTGGGGAAAGACGTGCACAGCAGAAAGAGTGTGGGGGAGATCACACAGTAGGAGTTGCGTGCCCACACATACACGCAGACACTCGCCCTCCACCTACCTCTGGTCCCAACCTGCCTGCACCAGAGTTGTCGCTGCTGCTGCTTCTGCCTGCCTGGGCAGGGGTGGAGGCCGCCACTGACTGCCCTGAAGTAAGAGTCATTGTGGAAGGTAAGCAGCAGGGGCAGGTGGCAGGGAGCAGGCATGGGGGGAGGAGGGGGACAAATAACGGGCTCATGCAGAAGAAAGAGCAGGGGGCAGGCACAGTCATGTGGCAGAGGAGGTCACGCACTGGGGGCAGCAAGTGGCAAAGGAGACCGGCAGCAGGGGGACAGGCACAGGCATGGGGGAGCAAGGAGTGCAGGTCTGGCTGCCTTGCCAGTGCTTTCGCTGCCACAGTGGGGAAAGTTTATAATTTTCCACATAGGGCATTTCATTATTGGCAGGTCCTAATTTTTCCTTGTATAGAATCTCATTAGTGGGGGTCAACTTATATTTGAAGTTGTCTTGGATTTGGGTAAATATGCTAATATTGAGGCAAAAGAGGCAAAAAGACAGTCAATGAAAACATCTGTAGAAATGGGGAGAGGTACAGAAAGACTATCAACAAACTGGCGGATTCTGATTATTAAAAAAAATATAATTTTTTTTTGTATTCTTAAAGATATTTTTCATGGTGTATGTTACATATATCTGAGATGTATACCATATGAACTGAGAAAATAGAGCTTTATTACACTACATACACATAGTTAGTTGTTAAGGTGCATCCTTGCTTTGCTTTTGACACGTACATAAGGAGACATGGTTGACATTTCATGTACTACCTTAACTTTCTCAGATACTTAACTTCAAAATCAGCATTTTTTAACATGTTACTCAGTAAACATAGGTGGAAGAAACTCAGGCAGTGTCAGGTTTATATGCCACAGATCCACTTAATATCCGAGGCAAACCCACCTCCTTTATTTTTACACACAATGTTATAATTTTGCTAAACGTTCATTAGCAGCCTTTGTGACCCTCGCAAATAAACTTTTTTCCTGACTACTCTTACCTCTAATAACTATTGTGGGCCTTAATTTTGCAGATTACTCGGATTATGAAGATAGTTCTATTGAGTTTTTGGAAAGGTGCTCCTCCCCACTCACCCGTTCCTCTGGGAGTTCTCTGACTTTGCGCAGCATGTTTACAGAGAAGAACATTGCATACCAGTATCCAAGGGCTATTTTGTCTGTCGACCTTAGCGGAGAAAGTAGGTTTGCTGAACTGTATGAAATTCTTGGTTTAAAAAGATACATTTCTTAAAAAAAAAAAAAAAGATGAATAGCAAGAGAAATGCAAGCCAAACAATTCTGCTTGTGGTATCAAAATATGAAACTGAGTTTCTCCTTCAAGTAGTTATCTGCAAACATATTCTCATACATGGATGAGCAGAGCCTGAGCCTCTTGACTTGTAAGAGTGTATGACTGAACAGCTCATCTCAATGAATTCCAGTTGCTGGATAACTTTTTATAGTGCATTGTCTAAAATAACACAAATGCCTACATGCCAAATTAAACATATGCACACCTTCCCTATGCTGTTCTGTGTTGTGTTGAGCTCTGGTTGGACACTGTCTCTTCACCTCTGAAGTGGCTGCCTTTCATTGCTATATATTCAGCTGAGGTCACCTAAAAATGTAGTAGTATGTTTATAAAATATTTTGTCTTTGTATACATACCATTTCATATACATCTGTTTTTTCTAGACCTCTCAGATGTGGAGTTCTTGGATGACTCCTCCACAGAGAGCTTGTTACTGAGTGGCGATGAATACAATCAGGACTTCGATTCAACCAATTTTGAAGAGTCTCAGGATGAAGATGATGCCCTCAATGAAATAGTTAGATGCATCTGTGAAATGGATGAGGAGAATGGCTTTATGATTCAGGTAAAAGACTTTTTCTGCATGCTTTTCTGTAAATTCTGAGCTAAGTGTTCTTCTGACATTGTTGGAGACTGACATTATCTAAAGAAAAGGTCAGAAATGGATGTTAGCAGTGAAAGCTTCCTGCATAGCCTGTCCTTTCTATGCAGAACTACCTCTCTGGGTTGACATCAGCACAGTTTTTATACTGCTTCCGTTCTTTCCACTTCTAAGCGTGACAACAGCAGTGGCAGTTGTAGAGACTGCTGTGCTTACTCAAGCTGGATTTAGTCTACCTCCGCTCTGATCCAGAGGACCATTTCTAGGTCATGGAATGGTTTCTCTCTCAATTCAGGTCAAATATTCCCAGTGTGAGTGTATAGCCTCTGGAAAACAGGACTTGTTTCATGAAGACCCACATTCTCAGACTTTCATAGTGTAGCTCATATCTTTATGGAGAGACTTGTCTTACAGGCACTGTTTCTCCAGCATATTACTTCCCAGGGGTACCCTAAACGGTTGCAGTTATTCTTAGGGAACGTTTACATTTTTAAGTTTTGCTATGATGTGGCAAATGGAAACATAAGAGGAACTGCCATTTTCTGAACAATTTTTTGCAGATTGTAGCAAGTCCTGTGCATACCACACTGTCAAAAATTGCAGCTGATAATCCATTGGACAAATAACAGATGGCTTCTACTAATGATTATTTTATTTGCAGTACTCTAGAAACTATGTTAAGCACTTCACCACAGATAATTAATTAAAGTTGCTGACTTAGTGTACTTATCCAGTATTTAAGTGAGACATAAACAGTGAAGAACTGAGAAAGGGATTATTACATAAACAAAGATCACAAACCTAACAGATCTGTGTGAAGTTAACAGTCTGTTGAGTACAGCTAACTTCATTTGGTTGTTCTGAATGAGGCAAGGGGTTGGTGGTTTGGTAATAAATTCTAGGAGAGTATTTCAGGCATAAAGGGGGGCAGCATTGAAAACCATTCAATGAAAAGGACTCAAACCTGGTTCCCGAGCTGGCATTGTTGGATTGGCAATGTGTGATGGGGGTGCAAGAAGAGACCAAGCTGGAGAAGTAGGCAAGAGCTAAGTAATGTAGGGCCTTGGGAGAATAAGACTGAATCATAATATTAAAAGGGATGGCAAGTCATTGAAAGACCCTGAAAGAAGAGTTGATATTAGAGACAGAAGAGGGAGATTGGTTTTGACTGTAGCATTTTAGATGTATTACATAGTCAAAAATGGGTGTCAATAGTGGTGTAACTAGAGTGGATGACTGGAACAACTGCACCCAGGTGCCAGCCTGGGGATGAGGAGGGCAGGGAGTGAAAAAAAATGGACATTTCTGGTAGCCATGTGAGTGTGCTGGCAGCCTGGTGGCAACTGGAAGTCACTGCTGGCCCTGTGCTCCAGACACCTAGCTACGTTGCTACACTGCTAGGTGTCAGAACAAAAATAGTTAATATAGCAGGTGTAGCTATGGAGACAATGAGGAGAGTGACTGTAGGGCTGTTATGAAGGTGTACAAGCTTGAGCTGATCAGTTCTTAAATTTATAATGTTGGTATGGATCTCAGCAGTTTGCGATTATGACTGAATTTTGGGATGGATTTGAATGATCAACCTTGAGCTGAATGCCTCCATACTATCAGCTGTCCTGTTTTACCATGACATACTGAATTTGATTACACTGCTCTCTTCCTTTGAGAAGTACCCCATTATTACATCAGCAGGCAAGGCTCTTTGGGTAGGTGTGATATCTTTTATTAGACCAACTGAGTAGTTGGAAGGAAGTTCTTAGCAAGCTTTTGGGTGCAGTCACCCTTCATCAGGCATAGGGAGTCTGCTGGTCTGAGACTCCAAGGAGAGAAGCTACAAGTATGGCAGGATGTCAGTGAAAATGTAAGTGGGTAGAGATAAGCAAGACAAAAGTGGGGAAGGGAGGGGGAAGTGAGCAGGGGGGGAAGGTCAGAGGGAGACAACAGAGATAAAATACAATGTGAAAAAGAGGCAGTCTGTGAAAAGGGAATAGCTGGAGGATGTCAGTAAAAATATAAAAGGGTAGAAGTAGGAAAACAAAAAGTTAAAGCAGGGGTGAGAGGAGGAAGACATCCTGTCACACTTAGCTTCTCCCATTCCTGCTTTCCTGATCTCCAGCTATTCCCTTTTTCACAGCCTGCCTCTTATCTCTACCTGTTTACATTTTCACTGACATCCTGCCACACTTTTAGGTTCTCTCATTCCTTGGAGTCAACCAGCAGAGACTCCCTCTTCCTGACAAAGGGTGATTGGGCCCGAAAGCTTGCTAAGAACTTTTTTGTAACTACTCAGTTGGCCTAATAAAAGATGTCATGTCTACCCAAAGAACCGTGCCTGCTTGTGTCCTTAGACCAACGTGGCTACAACCAGAAACCCAGCACCATTATTACGTTGTATTTTATTTGTTATGATTTTCTAAATTCCATATTTCCTTCTTGTACCTTGTTGCAGTGCAGCTTAACCAGTCTCTTAGGCTGTTATATCCCTTTCATCTTGGTTTTCCTCTCTTCGTGTCATCTTTATTTCAACAATTTCTTGCTTTATTTTCTTTTTCATTTAGCCTTACTATGGCTTAGTATTAAAACTAAGTTTTTCTAGAGCATAGTAGAGGTGCTTTTTAAAAGTATGTATTTTTCTTTTCATTCTTATGTTGCCATACCTTACTTGATCTTTCTCCTTTACCATGTTCCAATACCATTGTTAAGCTTAAATGCTAAGTATTTATCTGTTAAATTGCTGGGCATGTAAATTGTTCACCAGACTGGAATTTAGGACAGGGCAGTCGCTTTCAAAACTAAAGATTAGCTATTTTGGGGTTGATTTTGCTACATCGTATTTAAATTGCATGAATATGATACCCTATCTCATGGATCCAAAGCTATTTGGATCACCTGACCTCTTTCTACCACAAACTCATGTCCTCCAATATTTAATGGAAAACTTTTATAAAGGCACATGGGGCCCAGTGTGATCAGTGGCCCACAGGTCAGGGAACACTGCCCTAATTTAAGCCAGTTGTTAAAGAAAAGGTGCTATTCCTTGCATTTTATAGAAACAAGAAATAGAACTGATTGACACATTATGAATTATCTTGGTTTTGGATGATAGTGTGAAGAATGCTTGTGCTGGCAACACAGTATCTGTATGGGATTGTTCGAAGACAGCATCCCAGAGCAGTACATCTGTTACATCTGCAGAAACCCACCAGGTATGAATACATTGCTTTCATACAAAAATTGTTAATACTTTATCTTTACTATTGATTTTAGCAAAGGTATACAGCCCCATAATCGGACCCAAATTTTCAGTAGTGTTTAATCTGTTTTGAGTCATGCATTATGTTTGTTATGGTTGAGTTCTTTTGTCTCCTTCCTAGATGTGGTTCTGAATGGTAACTTTTAGTTTCCTAATATTGATATATTTTTTTAATTTCTTCAAATTGTTAATTTGTGGATCTTTAGATTTTTCAAGAGGTGTATATTTTTTATTGAAAAATTAGTTCCCAACAAGTGACATTCTAGTCTGAAAAATGACTGTTGTATGTAAACAATATCACCTTGCAGTTCACTTTCCTACATCTATTTGGAATCATGCCTGCTTAATTACTTGATAAAATGGGATCTTGCAAGCCATGTTAGCAGTTTTGAAGGTACAACAATATAGGCAAGTGATTTGGATTCTGTTCTTAGTTGTGCATCAACAAAATTATGAGGTAAGTAAATTGTAATGGGTTAAATATTTTGCTTTGCTACAACCTCTAGATGCACTGTGTAACATAGGGCAGAGTTTACCCTTTAGAATTAGACTTTTAAGTGTTTTTGTATGCACCAGAAATAACATACCTTAAACTTTAGATTCTGGGCTGGGTCTGTTGATCTTGAAATTAGAATTGGAACACACATGATCTGGAAATCAGTAGGTAATACAAGTAACCTCATGGTACTGTTATTTACTGTATTTCTTTTGAAAAAGAACTGTTTGTGGTTGGAAAGAACTATTCTAAATCTTCTAAAAACTGATATTGGAGATGTATCTAACCAGTTCATCCTTGTAAAGAGAATAGTGAAACTAGGACAAAATTTACAGATTTGATTTATGGAGCTGAGTAACTAAATCTATAATGTGTAAATAAGTGACCCAGTTTACAAAAAAATAAGGAATAGAAGTAGTTGGGAATTTAATTAAATGTGTTCCTGGGTTTGGCACATTGGCATTATTGTGTACTTGCCACAGAATCAAATGGGTTTCAATGAAACTGGTTCTGGGAAGGCTTCTTAGGAACAGGGTGCAATTTTCGATCAAAGCCCAAGAGAAACCATTAACCAAGAATAGCTCTCAGTCCAGTGGCTAGGCCACTCGCGTGGGATGTGGGAAACACGGGTTCAAGTCACTGAACTGGCAGTTTGGAGCAGAGACTTTGGACTTAAGTGTCCTGGTTATGACCACTAGGATATGGGCTGTCCTGAGGAAAGAGGGTATCATGAGGTCATCTAATCTAGCCCCTTCTCAAAGCAGGATCATTCTAGACTAAACCATCCCAGTGAAATGTCTGTCTAACTTGCATTTGAAAGTTTCCAAGGGTGGAGATTAAACGGTCTCTCTCTAGGAAGTATGTTCCAATGCTTGACCACTGTCAGAGTGAGAAAGTTCCTCCTAATCTCCAATCTAAATTTGCCCTGCTGTAACTTGAGCTCATTGTTCCTAGTTCTGTCCCGTACAGCCACAGAGCAAAGCTGATCTGATAATCGTAGAAAATTAGGGTTGGAAAGCAACCTCAGGAGTTCATTTAGTCCAACCCTCTGTTCAGAGCTGGAGTATCTCCAGTTATTTAATCCCAGCCAAAACTTAGTCTAGTCAGGCCTTAAAAACCTTCAAGGATGGAGATTCCACAGTCCCCCCCACTCAGTCTTCTCCTATCCGCACCCAGTTCCCCTAGCCTCTCAGAAGTCACGTGCCTCAGCCCCCTAATCATTTTCCTTGCCCTCTGCTGGACTCTTTCTAGTCTGTCTACATCCTTTCTATAGTGGGGGACCCAAAACTAGTCACAGTACTCCAGATCTGCCCTCACCAGTGCTGTATAGAGGAGAAGAATCACTTCCTTTAATCTTGTGGTAGTGCTCCTATTAATGCAGCCCAGTATGCTGTTAATTTTCATAGCAACAAGGGCACTCTGTTGGCTCATATTCAGCTTCTTGTCCACTAGTCGCCAGGTCCTTTTCTGCAGAGCTGCTGCCCTGCCAGCTGGTCCCCAGCCTGTGTATGGGATAGTTTCATCCTACGTGCAGGATTTTGCACTTGTCCTCATGAGATTTCCTTTGGTCTAATCCTCCAACTTCTCAAAGTCTCTCTGAATCCTAGCCTTACCCTCCAGCATATCTACAACTCCACCCAGCTTAGTGTCAGCATACTGAGGGTGCACTCCATCCCATCTTCCAGGTCATTGATGAAGATATTGAACAAAACTGGTCTTAGGACCAACCTCTGAGACATTCAGATTGATACCAGCTGCCACCTAGACATCGAGCCATTGATTACTCCCCTCTGAGCCTGATGTTCCAGCCAGTTTTCTATCCACCTTACAGTCCATTTATCCCAGATGTACTTCTGTACCTTGCTTGCAAGAATGTTGTGGGAGACCGTATCAAAACTCTTGCTAACAAGGTGTAACACATCCACTACTCTTCCAACATCCACAGAGCCGGTTATCTCATCCTAGAAGGAAGTCAGGTTGGTCAGGTATGATTTGCCTTTGGTAAATCCATGCTGACTGTTGCTGATCACTTTTTCGTCCTGCACATGCTTAGAAATGGATTCCTTGAAGACCTACTCCATGATTTTTCCTGGGCCTCAGGTGAGGCTGACATTTCTGTAGTTCCTTGGATCTTCCTTCTTCCCTTTCTTAAAGATGGGCAGTATGTTTGCCCTTTTCCAGTCATCTGGGACCTCTCTGAATTGTCACAAGTTTTCAAAAATAATGGCCACCGGCTCTGCAGTCATAGATGCATAGACATTTGGGCTGGAAGGGACCTCAGAAGATCATTGAGTCCAGCCCCCCGCCCACAGGGCAGGAAGTCAACTGGGGTCATAGGATCCCAGCAAGATAAGCAGCCAGTTTGTTCTTGAAGGTGTTCAGTGTAGGTGCTTGAACCACCTCCGATGGCAGGCTGTTCCAGACCTTGGGGGCTCGGACAGTAAAGAAGTTCTTCCTTATGTCCAGCCTGAAACAGCCTCGCAGTAGTTTATGACTGTTCGACCTCGTCATCCTTTGGGGTGCTCTGGTGAACAAACGTTCCCCCAGATCCTGGTGGTCACC